GCCTGGCGCACCCCACTAAAAAAATAAATACAAAAAAAAATATTATTAGTCTACTACTTCCTACATTATGTATGTTATATACAAAAAATTTATAAATTTTATACACTTTTTCGGCTACCGAATATAAATAATTTCTGGCACGGGATAAAAGTGAAAAAAGTCCAATTTTTTTTGGGAGGGGGAGAGGGAAGGGGGGAATCCATTAAGGTAACTTGCTACCTTAGGCTCTTGAGCGTCGGTTGTGCATTGCACTACAGCACGGGCCTGGCGCACCCCGCTAAAAAAATTTAAAAAAATAAAAAAGAAATGTTATTAGTCTATTTCCTACGTTATGAGGGTACACAAAGCATAAACTCTTTCAATATTTGATGATCAATAATTTCATTTGATCTTAGTTTTATCGATTTTTTCCTTTTTTGCAGTGTTTCAATATTCGTCGTTCGATAGTGTGTCTGAGGTAACGAAGGAGAATTTCGAGGGGTGCAACACGAGCAACGTGCTAGATTCTAGTAAAAATGGGAACACATCTTTCCCATTGACAACCCCAGGGGACAGATATTTTGTTAGTGGGAATAGGCTACATTGTCTTGGAGGAATGAAACTTCATGTAAATGTAGACAATTACATTGCAGCATCACCAGCTGCAGCACCAGAAGCAGAAGCAGGGGCCTCATTTCCTTCTTCTAAGAGCAATAATCCCTCAGTTGTTCCTAGTTTTGCATTGTCCAATCATGTTAGATTGGATTCTCTACTCCTTATAACTCTTGGCCTTTTGTCCTTGGCAATTTCACTAGTGTAAAGTTGAGGATTTTCACATTTTGAAGGTGTATTTTGACTTGTTTGATTTTTTGAATTTTACTCGAGGGCAGACTTATGCCTTCAGCAGCCGGTGCTGGCGCACCCGATGCTCCAAGCTCGAGTTACAGTATATACAAGGGCGGATATAGAGTAGTGGCGTCGGATTCATCTGAACCCATAACTTTTGACGTAGAGTATAAATTTATATGTAAAAATTCATTAAATTGCAACAAATAGTAGGTATGAACTCATAAGTTTAAAAATATAATGGGTTCAATATAAGAGTCTTAAAGGTTGAAACCATAAAATTTAAGTCATGGATCCGCATAGGCAGATTTAATGCTTTATTAATTGTGCACGTGCACCCATGGTCATTCTGCCAAGTATTTTATGTACATATTTCCTAGAATTGATCAAATATAACTTGATGGCGCCTATGCTCCAAAAATGCTGAATTGTGCACTTGGTTGGGTGTTGAATTAATAACCCAAAGGATCAAGGATTGATTTCCACTTAGAACTTTTTTTCCTTCTTTTTATTGATGGTGTACCCTTGTTCTAAAAATCCTAGATCCGCCCTTCTTTTTATTGATGGTGTACCCTTGTTCTAAAAATCCTAGATCCGCCTCTGTGTATAGTTGAAAACTTTTAAAAGTATACGAGTATCTTAAGTGCATCCATTGTTATAGAAGAGCGATGCGTCCAATGTGTTACTTTACACTCGCTGGTTTAAAATCATGGATTCGCCTCTGTTTTTACTTTATTTAATTGGAGATGATTTCATTCCATAATATTTCATCTTCTTTTTCTTGTTTCCCTTCTCCTAATGTGAGAGACATTAAACAAACTTCAGACACTTCACAAGCAAGCACCATACATAGTCAAAAACTTTGTGTGATGTATTTACTCCTTGTGCTGCCCATAAGGCAGAAAATGTTGCTGACCAGTTACGTATAAAGAGCCAAAATAGAAACCAAGAGAACCAAAAGAAATAGAGAAACAGAAAAGGGTAAAATCTAGTACCACATGCATACACATTCATTTTTAGGTAAAGTGAATTCGTGACCAAATCTACCTATATCAATCAAAGGAAGCAAATATGTTGATACACCTAAAGTCATCTCCACTTCTACCGGCCAATTAATAATTGCAGGGTTTGATTCATTTTTTTCTCTTCTTCTGTCTCTTTTTTGGAGGTGTAGTTTTACTTGTTTGCTTCCTCTACATATCTTTTAGGTTTAATTTTGAGAATTTTACTCTAATATCCGATATCCCAAGCTCAGTAGCACAAACACTCCCTACCAAGTAGTGCTCAATTCCCAAGGCTCAAACCCGAGAGCTCTGGTTAAGGGTCGTTAACCATCCCGCCACACCACTTGGTGGTTGGTTCCTCTCTGTTACTCAGTCCCATTGTTAATTTCACCTTTTCTACTATTACCATGTAGCCCAGAATTCTGCTTCTTATATCCCTTACAGTAATCAACTTATGATAGAAGAAACAAAAAAAAATTCAGAAGATATATCTGGAAAGACGGTATCATCAACTTATATGATTTCATTTCCATTAAATAAATACATATCAAAGGGAAGTTTCACTCATATCAGGGTATAAACACATGAAGAGGAAGTTCTCAGTGGCATCACAACCTATGCAAATATGAACAATGTAAACGTAAAAACTGGTCAATAGAAAAAGGCATGAATAATATAAAGTGGTATTATTAAGGTTGCCAAATTCCAACAAGTCGTATCAACAAAATTGGCGAAATATTGAATCGCCTATCTTACAACTGCAGGCTAGGTAAGCAACTACATCTACTCTGGATCCAAACTACAGTACAGGTAGCTGTTGCTTATGATTATGGTCCCTCTATCTCTATGTATTAGCTTTATCCATGAAAAGAATCAAGAACTCTCCAATCAGAGATTAAACCACAGGATCGAGCCGCTACTGATACACCCCCACACCAGTAGAAACAGTTGCTTGCATACATGATTTACAGTTTATCCAACTCAGTATTGTAATAATGCAACGAACCTTGTCGAGTTCCCCGTATGAATACTTAGAACTTGAGTTACTTCCGCCATCTATCTGGAGCAGAAGCACTCTCCTAGTATTGGATCCCCACCATTATCAGCAAGAGAACGAGGTTTCCTATACCGGATTTCGTGTCAAAAAATCATTAACTGCGAGACTGGCATCTCCATGTGACACAGCATCTTCAGGTTCTGGCATGTAGAGACTTGACACAGATGCCTGCGCATTTAGGAACAAATGAACCATCAGCATATAACATTTTGGGGAAGAAAACAAAAAAAAGAGTTAAACCAAAAAGAATGCACAGAGATTGGACCAAGTTAAGATGCTAAAATAATGTCCCCAGATCATAACATATAGATAAACAGTTTTTTTGGGGTAAATAATCTACAAAAACAGTTGTTAAGAAAGAAATGTAATTCTCAATAATCATTGAGAAAAGAATTATTCTGGAATAGCAGAGTAAGAGGAGCAAAGGAATAGGGTTGACACCATTTATACATGATGGAAACAACACAAGAAAAATCGAGCTCATGAAGTTAAAACAATCAAGACAATGTCGCTGAGAACAATGAAGTAGAACACCTACAGATAGATACTGTGGAAGTCAAAGTTCAAGAATTCGTATTCAAATTGCAAGTCTCAAACAGAAAGGAGAAAGGAACCTGAACTTCATGAACCGGTTAGGAGCGATCCTCAGGTGTTTCAGATTCTTTTTTTTAATTCTTTTTATTTCATGACCAAGAAATCCCCAGTGACTAAGCTGGCCCAACCCCAGTTGGCCAACAGGTTCGAAACTAGGGAGAGTATGAGCCCATCCCTCTATTCTAACAAAAGTACCTGGCTCCTTGTCAATGGCAAGTTTCGACCTTGCGACATGTACCCTATTGATGACAACATGACCATGAACTTGCATCATTAAGAAGACCGGAAGGCTTTACAGAGGGTTGATCAAGAGTTGACCAAGTTTGGGTTGACCAGTGTTGACCACATTGACCAAGACTTAACCATAGAAATTTCTGTGATGTCTCAAACATGGTGGTTCTACTACATGCCCCATGACTACTTTAGTTATGTTAAGTACTTGGACTTGGGCCCAAGACCATTGTTTAGGTAATAGTATAAGTTTGAGTAATGTAGGGTTTTTACCTTTTTTTGGTGATACGTTTATGTGAGGCTCTGTAAAGACCTTTTGGATGCTTGAAGAACTCCTTGGGGTGCCATTGAAGGTATAGATCTTCTTCCTTTATCTTTGATATCTTTGGATCAATCGCTACGTAATTACGATGTAATTAGTTTATATACTAATTGTGGCCTATTTCTATCAATTTGGTTCCTAGATCATATCTTTCTATCTCTTCTTCTGACTCTATTCTTATTTTCTTAGAGAATTTCCCTTGTTTACTATTTCTTTCAGTCATCACCTATCCACACATCCTTGTAGAGCAGTTTGCATTAGATCCATATAAATCAGGAAGCAAACGCACCTTTGCATCAAACTGCATCTCTCCAGAATTATCGGAAGTGAGGCATGCACCATGGGCTTTCAGCCATTCCATACAATCCTCCACCCCATCTGCGTCCTCACTTTCTTCAGTTGTCAATAAGACACTTGTGAAGCCTAAAACCTGAGCAATGTAGGTGACCGGAACAGTAGGACGATATGAATGAGACATACATCTAACAGCCGCATATCGTATTTTTTCAGCATATAAATCTGCAAAGAACGAGTATACATCATCAAATTTTAGCATTATTAATGCAGTAGCTAAATTTGCACCATTCAGAACAAAACACACCCATAAGACAAGTGTTAAGGTTAGGAGCTGTCTTGTATAATCTGAAAAAGGCAACATAGTTTCCAGAGGACACAGCTGCTCGAACTGATAAAGCATGTTTGACAGCTTCGTTCTCTCTGGCCTCTGCTGGTAATCTGGAAAAGAAAAATGCACAACAAAATACTTTAACATTCCACATTTGATAAGAGGGGATAGTTCTAACCATGTTTTGAGCAGATTTTCTCAAGCTACCAGCACCCAGGTGTATGAAAATTTGACAGGATGGCCAAATATACTATGAGTTAAGACAAAGAAATGGTATTTACGCCATAGAAAGACCACCATTCAATTTCGCTCTGTGGCACTATGTCACCTTTTGCAATATACAAATAAACTCCATAAAATTATGGACTAAATTGTGGCATTTGAGATTTCCATCCAACTTAAACATAGCTTGATGCCCTTTTTTTGTAGGTCATTTCGGAAACCACCTTTCCATCTTCTCTGCGCACTCATTATCTCTTCTGTCTTCTTCCACCACCCCCTTCCCACTACCACCAACACCAAAGCCAATCCCTTCCCACCTCAAATCTCTATCTTCTTCTTTCTTTTGGTTTTCTTTCTTCCCTTTTCGTTTTTCGGTCCATTTTATTTACATAACTGAAGGTACGAAACAAATTAAGATGAACAGGGGAATAGACACTCTTCTCCTAAATTATACACGAGCTAATCTGTTCCGATTTAGTCTAACTTTGACAAGCTTATGTGCATATTAAGGCCAAAGAGTGAAAAGGTATACTTTCAGAGGCAGGGATTGAAGTGCATGATTTTGATTGCCAGTGAATAATCTTCAATGCAGACTCATAACTAGCTAAAAATATGAGTTGGTGATTCACATTGGCAAAGCATGTCGCACAGCTAAGTCATAACTAGAAGGAAAATATCATAGAGGATTTGTCAACTACATGTGTCTGCTGCAATTTAACCTCACAATCATACTTAAGTTGCAGAAAGTCACCAATGAGATTATGTAACACGCAAATCTAACCAGATTTCTTCTTCCTCTTTTTTTTTTTTTTTGTATTGCAGATGCCCAAGAAAGTAGACAAAGGATAGCTGAAAAGGACTAATCAGAGGAACTGAGAGAATACTCTTGGTGCTCATGAACAAAATAACAGAAGAGACTGGAAGCAGAGAAATAAGCGGCAGAACAAGTGTGTTGCAGAAGTTC